GGTTATAGTGCAAATAACCAACAAAGAAATGACAAGATTGATTGACATATTGGGTTTTATGTTTATGAACGCCATGCAGTGGATGAAATTTTAGAAGGTTTTAATGATATCAGTTTGGTGGGATTTCCTTTGAGCTGATCCAGCTACAGAGCTTCTGAGGCTCTGGCACACAAAGGGACACTCTGGGCGTCAGCTGACACCTTGAGATGGAAACCCTCTGCCTTTGCTGTCCCAGCGGGGCAGGTGGATTATTGCTCTCTGCTTTGGCTTATCGAGGTTTACTGGATTATATTTTTCAGTATTCGCTCATCGGAGCTTTATGGATTTATAATTCTTTGGTTGAGCTCATCAGAGCAAAGCAATTACAACACGATCGGACTGTTTGCCCCTTGAACATCAACCAACAATCAACAGTAACCTCTTTCAATTAACTTGTGAACTCTGTACTACTGATATTGCTATGTAACCCAATGTAATCACTGTTTTGGATTCTGCTACAACGCTGTTCCCCTGCAAATCATTAATTAAATGCAGAGCATGAGAAATTGAGAAAGTTCTGGATCATTTTTATCACCCTTTCATTGTTCATGAATTTTGGATGCCTGGTTCAGCTCAAGTAAAGGAGGCATTTAAAGGTTACTCAGCTCTGAATGTTTAGACAATACCCTTGAATCCTGATCGTGGATTCTAAAAATAACCAGACTGGTAAGAATTGCAATTTTACAATGAGGAGGAACGGCCATTAATGTGAGTTTCCCTGTGATCAACGACTCGACTTCAGCTACTAGATGAATCACGGGGTGAGATAAGGGTGTGACTCACAAATGGAGGTCATCAACAGTCTGGGTGAGTCCTTCTCGCATACAGCCCAAGATGAACTAGTCTACAATAACTTGGGGTCATATTCAAGTTATAGACACAGTTCTTAAACCCCCTTAGAGGAGAGGCTGCAGTGCAGTTTTTACCATAACCAAATAGTAGCTCTGCTGGGTCGATAAAACAACTGTCAACTGAAAATCCACACATTAGTGCTTACCTAGAGAACACAATCCGTCCATCTGGGCTCCTTTCCACCCACATATGATATGTGTAATAGTAATTAAAAACCATAAAACTAAAGAATCAAAATATGAAAAAATTACCGTAAATATCAAATGTGTACATAAAAAAATATAAACGTGCCCATGTTAGGGTGCGTGCTAAATACCAGAACTTACAGTTATCAATTCAGAGCTTTAATACTGTACAATTGCCCTCCAATACAAATAAAATGTTGTACACACCGCCATTAAAATACGTAACAGCCAAATATTGAGTTAAACACAAGCTTATTGAAAAAATGCTGGTTGAGGGAGGCCGGTCCTGTGCTTTCTTTCGATCCTCGCTGCCTGTTGCTGGAATGACATTCCTCTTGACTTGTTCAATCGCTTTAACAGAGTCAAACACCTTGTCCATCCCTCCATCCATTTTCTTCCGCTTATCCGGGGTCGGGTTGCGGGGGTAGCAGCCTAAGTTGGGAGGCCCAGACTTCCCTCTCCCCAGCCACTTGGGCCAGCTCTTCCGGGGGAATCCCGAGGCGTTCCCAGGCCAGCTGAGAAACATAGTCCCTCCAGCGTGTCCTGGGTCTTCCTCTGGGCCTCCTTCCGGTGGGACGTGTGTGGAACACCTCACCAGGGAGGCGTCCAGAAGGCATCCTAACCAGATGCCCAAGTCACCTCAACTGGCTCCTCTCGACGTGGAGAAGCAGCGGCTCTACTCTGAGTCCCTCCCGGATGATCGAGCTTCTCACCCTGTCTCTGAGGGAGAGCCCAGACACCCTGCGGAGAAAACTCATTTCGGCCGCTTGTATCCGAGATCTCGTTCTTTCGGTACAGAAGCTGGCCATCCCTCCATGTGTGATGGAAAGTCGTGCTGGAAAAATAAGTCCGTACCAGACACCTGGTTGTTCTGCAGGAGTCACCTGACCTCCGTGAACGCCGCTCATGCCTTTGCCATGCTTGGAGTGTAATCAGCTGTGATGAATATGGATGATTCTTTAAAGTGGATCGGGCCACCTCTGCATGCTCGTTCTAAAATCCCCACACAACCTTGAAATAATGCAGCCTGGCCACAACTCTGGATTTATCATCCGAGCCTCTCCTGCCAGGTGTTTGGTGTACGTGATCGATCAGCGGTGACTTGTCCAGCCTCAGCACCTCCATTAGCATTTTGGCTATCACTTAGTAATACATTGTATTAATTGTAGTAATACATTTAATACATTTGATCAGTTGCTTTTGGGTGATGCAAAATCTTCTGAATCCTATGGAAGCAGCCAGGGTGAACTTGTTTTATTTATTTATTTATTTTTTACAATTTTCTATTTTGGCTTTGTTTTTGTTAACTAAATATAGCCATGGTGGAAACTGTTGAATGCTTTCAGGTTAGATTTAACAAATTTTAGACCGTGGTAAAAACCACTTTTTTGTTTTGATATTTAAAACTGAATTAAAACGTGTACTTTCCTCTTACTGTGACTGAATAATTCTTTGGTTAGTGAAAAGGCTTCCTGTTTTAACTTGTAATCTGAAGTTAAAGGTACTTACAACAGAAAAGTGTAGAGATTGTGTTACCTGGTGTCCACCTCCCTCTCGTGGTGTGTCTTAATTCCTGCGTCTCCTTATAATTCATGACCCTCTGCCATCTGCTTGTTCCTTCACAGCTCTTTCTCTTTTACCCTCGTTAGTGTCTTGTATTTAAGTCTGAGTCCTTCAGTTCATCATTGTCGGGGCATTGTTGTTTTGCTGGTTCCTATATTTCCTACGTTCTCTTACCCAAGTAAGTTTTGCCCACTCGTCAGCCTATTTTGTTTATTTAATAAATTCTTTATTATACTGCTCTGAGTTGCGGTGGTCTGCCTGCAAACAGGTTCCAAGAGTAAAAATCACCACAAAATGATGAAAATTTCTATCAAATGTGTAAAACAAGTCGTCACATACCTGGATCAACTCAATACAACTATATGTCTTGTTACTGCTCACATTTATTATACATGATTTCACTTAATTTTACAAAATACTTTTGACATACATAAAATAGACTAAATAAAAGTTTGGCATAACTGTAAGAGCAAACATAAAAACAAATCAAAAGAACACAGCAAGAAAACTGTACGCTTCACCTGCACTTAAAGTAAATGGAGGAGAAAAATAAAAGCAGTCGTATGCACAGTACATAACATACATTCACTGATGATTCCACACCATTTGAACCTACTGCTGGACTTTAATGTTAATATAAACTGATAACAATCTGTAGAGAACACACAGAACACCCTCTGGCCCACAGTACTAAACAGAATAAGCAGTTTACATAAAGAAAAAAGATCCTGCTGTTTTGAACTGGTATGTATTGAAATGAACAAGAACAAAACGGGAATCACAAATACAATGAACTGTACGTTCAGGCTTTGCACAGTGTTTGAACTGATCAGTAAACTAAATTAATCCAACAGTAGAGAAGTCCAGTGTTCAGAAGTAACTGATCTTTATTTTTCAAACACTGAATATGGATCTGAGTACAGCGTTGCTTGTAAAGGTTAGGCTGCACTGACCAAGTATAAAGTGTGATGCTGTACTGTATGTTACAAACACATCTGACTGTCAGGACATTTGACTGATGCCCTCTTACACAACGTTTTGGTAGCGTCAACACGGAGTTATGCACAGCCTGTTCCTCCACCTAGAATGGTTCTCTGTGACAAGCACCCTGTCTTTCTGTGCATTGAAAATAATCAACATGGCTTTGTTACATGCAGCCCATACAGTGTACTTGGACACCCCTGGGCATATTCCTTTACACTGGCAGGAATTCATGCCACAGTGGTCACAGTTTTCTTTCCTGCTCTGTCTGAAATTCAAGGCAACAATTCTGACACAGACAACACGTCTTCTAGGGCAGCCAAATGGCCTTCTCCTTGAAACTGTATTCAGCAGAGAAGTCTGAATTGATGGGTGCACGGAAAAGATAGGAAAGCAGATCGACTGTACTGAAGTCACATAAGGCACAGGCCAGATTTTTTTTCCTTCAAACAAAGAAAATCTGGGTAGGTCTAAACAGAGAGGAGAGAATATGTTTACAACAGGAGTAAAATGAGCCATCCCTAGTTAGAGAACATTTATCCTGCACGAGGGTAAGTGATCTTAGATTGTTTATTAATCAATAGGTGTTTTGCTGCTGGCCATCCTATACAGGAAACAGTTCATTTTTAGGAACCTTTCTAGTCAAGGAGCCTCTAGATCCATAAAGCTCACCTTGAGTTTATAGTCCCCCATTTAATCAATTTTAACATCCTTCTTATGTACTTCATGTTGCTATTGATTTTTCAGTAATCCGTCTTTCTCGTGAAGGGTTAGGCTACCTTAACGTTAAGGATAGTTAATGGCATGTTTAGCAATTAATTGAAATATTATGTCAAATGTTTTGATTGGCTGTAAAAAAATTACTTTAAGCTCCTTTCTACTAAATTTTACTTTTGCTCTCTTGAATAAACAGTATGGATGAAGCAGCTTTTGAATTTTAAGGTGGCATAGTTGGAGAATCCTGCTTCCAGTTCAAATGACACTAAAACTGATGAGAATGGAAAAAAAAAAAACATACAAAGTTTTGTTCCATGAAAAAATGTATACAACCTGTCGCCTTGCACGCCCAAGATTTAAATCAAGATTTTCTCCAGGACATCCTTGTAAAAGAGATTAATGATCTCAATGGATTTCTTCCTGGTAAAATAAAGTAATAAAAACAAATTTGTACAACCTGTTAGTGCTCAAAGTATGATTTGTGAAAGAGTCTTGGCAACTACAATAAATTTTGTCTCAGTATTTGTAAAAACGACTGCGATAGACATTTTAGGTTTGTAAAGTGAGTAAACTGTGGCAACCATCTTGAATCAGGTGAAATACAAATAATCAGTTGTAGCCATTCAATGATCACTTTCTAAGAGTTTCAAAATGGTGCATGAGATTTTTTGCTAATAGACAAACGCATAAGAAATTATATGATCACTCGCTACCATGAAATATGAGCAATAATAAACTACATCTGCGTTAAATCCTAAGCCAAGGCTCGATTCAATGATGTACGTTCACCCAGAATGTGTTTCTGCTGTAATAAGTGGAAGAATGCTCTTTATTTAGTTTAAAAGGCAGCAACATGTCGGCTTTGAATCATTAATATGTACCATGCCCCAATCTATTTTTCCTAGGAATCCTGATGGTTTAGTTTCTTCTCCTCCACATTTTTGTCCACTTCAGTAATCTGTCCTTCTCATGAAGGGTTAGACTACCTTCACCTTGCTCTTAGCTTTAGCTTCAACACCCCCATCCTTCAGTACACCAGAAAGTTTTACTCATTTTAAAACAGTTTCTTCTGCTCAGCAGGGACAGTTGGTCTTGGTTTCAGTTTCCTGGATAAGTCGAACTCGTCCATCTTCTCGCTCCACATCTCTGTACAACAGAGACTTCTGGGCCTTCAGACGGCAGGCCAGTGACATGAAGATTGAATCAACGTTCTGACTCTCCTTAGGATCTTTCGCTGATGTCTCGAACAGCAGCATGTTGTGAGAATCTGCAAACTTTAATGCCATGTTGGAGGGCACCTGGAAAAGCACCACCATTCAGATGAGTATTTGAGGATGAAGGAAGTACGAAACCATGTTGGACGCTTTGCGTGCGTACACCAACCTGTATTTGATCAACAAGGTCACATTTGTTTCCCACCAGAACTCGAGGCACTGATGCCGACACTCGATGGCCATTACATTCCTGCATTAAAACACAGTAGAGTTTATTTGTATGCTTGTCCATATTTCAGTGATAAATAAGATTGTCGATATGATGTTTTCACATTTAATCAAAAACAACTGTTATCTGTCTAGAAAATATAATTTTTCCATGGTTTCAGTATAGGTAACTAAAACTACTTTAGTCATTAGGAAACTACAAATACGATTATAGACCCTGGGTGAAATGTGACTAAATGAGTTACATGAGGATAAATATAAAAATCGGTCCGTCCGTCCGCCATCCATCCATCCATCCATCCATCCATCCAACCATTCATCCATCCAGCCATCCATCCAACCATTCATCCAGCCAGCCATCCATCCATCCATCCATCCAGCCATCCATCCAACCATTCATTTTTTTCCTTATCTGTTGCCAGGATTCAGACGTAACAGATACACAAGGGAAACCTCAACACCTTCCAACAATGCCTTGCAATGACCAAGGTGCTTTACAAGATAAAACAAATAAAAACAGAACACAATAAACCAGTGCAAATTAAAAACACAGCCAGAATAAAAGAAGGTAAAAGGTATTAAAAAAAAGCTAAATACTGAAATACTAAAAGTTAAGCATTAAAAGCCATTTTAAATAAATAGGTTTTCAGTTTGGCTTTGAACAGAACCACATCAGAAATAGCACGCAGCTCATAGGGAAGAGGCAAAATCCATCTCTCGACACTGGCTGGTGGTTCAAGCATGTGGGCGTGGCTGAACGGCGAATTCAAATTTCCCACCGTTTGCATACAGTTGGCTCTAAATCAAACATGTCATCTGATTTGTTCCAAAATGAATATAAATGACCTTTGTTAAGCTCTAAAAACAAAAAGCCATTAGGATTATATCAACATTTGACTCCAGTGCGCCCCCTAGACTGTTCTATCGGCTATAGTTCACTGATACATGATCTGATCTACACCAGATATTTTGAGCATCATAAGGGAGCACTGCTGGACACATTGCTGTGGTACATTAATGATATCATTAAAGCCCCGCCCACTAAGAGAAAATATTTAAGATCATTGTGTCAATAGTTCTAATTCTCCCATTTATGAAATATTAAAACTATATCCATTGAACATTGATAACCACATATGACATGTTGAAAAGCCTAAAGGAAGTCCTCGCCAAACATTTGCCACAAAACAGGAAGTGACAATAACTACTGTGTGGAAGGTCGGATTTTGGCCAAACTTGTAAGACTTGCAGTTGGACTCGTACTGATATGGGCGGAATGGGATTTTTCAAGATTTGCCAAATGCGTCCCCGGTGGACGCATGCAGGAATGGCACGAGATCATTCACGATGGCGACTGGGAGGTGTAGCTGGAGCTCCCGCTGTCGCCACAAGGGTTAGTGGCTGTAGCTCCTGTGGTTGCCATATGGCCGAAGCAGCGCTTTGCTGCGAGGGCCTTCAATGCTGCTTGCAGCTTTAATTATTATTATTATTATTATTATTTACCAGGCAAACTGCACTGAGATCACAGATCTCTTTTGCAAGGGAGGCCTGGGCCTGAAGACAGCCTAACATGCATGTTTGTGGGAGGAAATCAGAGTACCCAGAGAAAACCCACACAAGCATGAGGAAAAACATGTAAACTGCACACAGAAAGATCCCAGGTCCAACCGGGGATTGAACCCAGGACCTTCTTGCTGTGAGGAAACAGTGCTAACCACTGAGCCGTCGTGCTGCCCTCATTGTCACATTCACATCAACTTATTTTGGGTCTGCCCCAGGATCTCCTCCCAAGAGGAAGTGCTTGGAAATCTACCAAAATAGGGTGCCAATGAGACATCCTTATCAAGTGAACCACCTCAGCTGACTCCTTTCAATGCAAAGGAGCAGCTGCCCCTGAGTGACTGGATTCTAACTTAAGCTCCAAGGTTGAACTCAGCCAGCCTCTGAAAAAAAAAAAATCTAATTTCAGTTACTTATATCCAAGATCTTGTTCTTTCAATCTTGAACCAAAATATGTGTTAATAGTTCACATTGGAAAATAGATGAACAAATAAACTACAAGTTTGTCTTTTGGCTCAGTTCTTTCGTTACCATAACATTTTGGGCTCTGGGTAGCGACCGGCAGCAGGTGGAAAGTTTGCGTGTTCTGTAAGACAGAACTGAATTGAGTTAAGTTGCATTTAACGTTTGTTATTGTCTGAACTACTGAAGATCACAACAACAAGGATCTGACCATGGAGCTGCTTCTTGTATTTGTTTTGTGAATTATAACTGCACTTGAACTCGGCGTCTACAATGTCTGCCATAGACATCATCACCACATCACCAGGCTTCAGTACTCCAGAGAACGTTTATTGCAACACAATACTCACTCACATCTGTCAGACTCTCTGGTCTTTCACTTGGATAATAGTTTAATTTACAAACATAATGGAGGTTTTAAAAAATACTAAAATACGGAAGCGGGGCAAGAGGGGCGGAGTCCGACTGAGGCTGTGACGGCTGAGATTAAACTGTATACCACTTCCCACCATGATTCTTTCAAACATTTAGTCACTTCAAAACAAAACGGATGAGCTCCAGGCTAACATCCTCCATCTTCATAAATACAGGAATGCTTGTGTGTTGGCCCTAACTGAAACTTGGCTTTCTAACACTGACAGTGATTCAGACATGGAGCCTGATGGCTTTGGGGTTCCTGTGCAGCTGGATAGAGACAATGATGCAACAGGGAAATCCCATGGAAACAGGGTTTGCATATATATCAATAAACGGTGGTGCAACAATGTCAAAGTTCAAGATTTTATATGTACCCTTGATGCTGAACTGTTGTCAGTGTCAGTCCGACCTTTTTACCTCCCCAGGGAGTTCCCTCAGATATTTATCCCCGAGGTCTACATTCATCCCAAAGCCAACGTCAAAAACACAACTCACCTGATAAGCCAATCCACTGAGAAACTACAGCTTCTGTCCCCTGACGCACCTTTTTTATTTTGTATGATTTTAAACATTGAAGTCTTTTCTAACTTATTTTTTATCAGTATGTTACCTGCCCTACCCGTTTTAACAAAACTCTTGATCTCTGCTACGGCTCCATTAAGGATGCATATAGATCCTTCTTGCTCCCTCCTTTGGGTTCCTCTGATCGCAGCACTGTTCATTTGGTACCCATCTACAAGACTGTTTTAAAAAGAGAGGCTGTCCAAATAAAAACTGTGAAACGGTGTACTAAGGATGCAATCCAGCATCTGCAGAGCAGTTTGGAATCCAGTGACTGGTCTGTGTTTACTCATCCAGAAGGCCAGTAAGATCTCCTTGCAGGTGAAATGGATCTTAACGAACTGACCCTGACTGTATGTACTTACATCAACTTTAGTGAAGAATCATGTATTTCTGTTTCTCGTGAGAAGGTTTACCCCAACAATAAGCCATGGATTAATAAGTCACTGAAAAAATTAATAATAGAGAAACATACACTTAACAATTCTTAACCTAATTTTTAAACGCATCAATGGACTTACGTTCATTGACCTTTTGTAGATTTTTTTCTCTGCTTTTAATACATTCAGCCTCACGTTTTAGCTCGTAAATTATTGAGCAATTTTAACTTTTGTCCTAGTGTTGTTGGATGGGTTTTAGATTTCCTTGTTGATAGATCTCAGTGTGTCAGGGTAAATGGTTCTATGTCATATGAGGCCTTTTCTTCTACTGGTTCTCCTCAAGGCTGTGTTCTTTCTCCCCTGCTGTACGTCCTGTACACCAGTGATAGCAGGAGTCAGTACATGAACAGACACATCCTGAAATTCGCCTGGTCAGGTAGTGGAGGATTTTATTGCATGGTGTGACAATTCCTATCCATCCATCCATCCATTTTCTTTACCCGCTTATTCCATTTTGGGTCACGGGGGTCGCTGGTGCCCATGTCCAGCAATCACTGTGCGAGGGGCGGGGTACATCCTGGACGGGTCGCAAGTCCATCACAGGGCCACATAGAGACAAACGAGACAAACAACCATTCACTCTCTCACTCACACCTAGGGACAATTTAGAGTTACCAATCAGCCTAACATGCATGTTTTTGGACTGTGGGAGGAAACCGGAGCACCCGGAGAAAACCCACGCATGCACGGAGAGAACATGCAAACTCCAACCAGAAAGGCCCCTGGACCGGGGTTTGAACCAGGGACCTGCTCGCTGAGAGGCAGCAGCTCTACCAGTTGCGCCACCGTGCTGCGTGACAATTCCTATTTAAAATTAAATGTCTCAAAAACCAAAGATATGTGTACAGGTTTTAGAAAGAAGTCCAGTCCAGCACCTTAAGTTCTCATCAAAGATGAACCTGTGGAGTGTTTCATCCTATAAATATCATCGACAATAAGCTGACATTCACTGAAAAGACAGATAAGGTTAACAAAAAAAAAAACTAATCAAAGACTTCACTTCCTCCGCAAATTGAATAAGTTTAGAGTGTGTAAAAAGCTGATGATTATCTTCTACAACTCTCTGATTGAATCTGAACTCACTGTTGCTTTTATCACCTGGTTTGGCAGTCTGTCAACAAGAGACAAGAACAGGATGCAACACATTGTAAAAGTAGCAGGCAAAATTATAGGAGTTAGACTACCTGATTTAAAAGACTTTTTTAAAGAGAGTCCTACAAAAGGCAGACCACATGATCCACTTTCCAAATCACCCTCTCCGTGGACAATTTGAGTTCCTTCCATCAGGGAAGAGATTCAGGCAGCCCAAATCTAGAACAAATAGATGGAAAAACTCTTATCAGCCAGGCCATTATTCAGATAAATTTTAAATGTAACCGGGCTTGATGTTGTCGTTCAGCCTGTTTTATTGATATTTGTACATAAATTTTTGTTTGCCAATCTTGTGGTGTCATTGCTTATGTGTTGTGTTTTAACCGCCTCGCCACCTTGCTACAAGGAAAATTTCCCTAAGAGGACAATGAAAGTGATGATGATGATGATAACAAACTTGATCCTCATTGCAAAGCTTTGATATGCCACTCTATCTCACACCATTTCTACCTTAACTTGGGAATAAAATACAAAAATACTTCAACTCCTCCACTTGAGGTAGAGACTCACCCTAAACCCAGAGGGAGCATATCACCTTTGATCATTATAGCTTTAGATTTGTAGGAGCAGATTCTCATCCTGGTTGCTACATACTCATCTGAAAAACTTCTAGTTTGTCCTTAAAAGCATGTCTTGAAAGAAATAGCTGAATCACAGAAATATGATCCTTATGCTTCCCAAACCAGGCAGCATCTTCTTCACAACTCTGCCATGAGAGCCACTACAAAAAGGATTAGAGACTAAGTGTAGCCCTGGAAGAGTTCAACCTGCACCAGAACTGCTCTGGCTTTGGTTGTACGGGGACTAGATAGCCTGCAAGAGTAACCATGGTACCTTTGTTTAAAAGCTCCTTAATGCAAAATCTATAACCATGACTCCATGAGCAGCTGGTTTTGATTGTCAGCAGCAATCTGGTTGATCCACTCTGAGAAGGTGCTATTTATAAGACTGAGCTGAGTACAGCACCTCAGACTGAGGAAGTCCCTCAGATGAAAAATGAAACGTTTCTAAAATTTTTTGTTTTGCTTTGTTTTGTTTTTTGAATGTCCAAAGGACCAGACTTAACTTTTTAGATTTTTCTACCTGGATTATTGAGCAGCATCAGGATATAACCATGACCTTTGTTGAGAAATATCATGCACAAACACTACTGTCCATGTTGCTTTTGGCCCGGCGGACCCAGTCTGTGGAGCGATGTTCCAGCCGCAGCATGTGCACCAGCTCGCTCACACGCTCCTGCCCTGGCTGGAAGGAGCAGGAGAGGAACCCTCCTCTTCAAACATGGTCCCTCTTCAGCGGCGCTGCACACTGGAAAAACACCCCCTCTCCCCTCCTCTCAGACCCCCGATCACTTAAGGGTGGGGGAATTCCGGCTCACATGAAGCTACTGAAATGATCCGTTCAACAACAAAAAAGATAATTTATTCAACAGAACATACAAGAAAATGTATTTCATGTTCATGGTTGAAAACCAGCTTCAGCGTCTGTTAGAGCACAGTGCCTGAGAGGCGCAGGGCATGTCAGGATCAAGCATCTTCATCCAGCACGTTCAGAGGTGCGCCCTGCGGACAATGCACGTTACGCACAGGAGCATCTCCAGACAGCTCTACAGAGCATGTACACAACTACTGATGTGTCGGAACTCCCGCATACATTTGAGACATAATAAATAAAAAAGCTTACAGTACAAAAAAAACAACGTGAGTAATGTTTGATGTGTATTATTCACATTACATCACGTTTCAAAACAACAGCACTAATTTGTCAAAATAACAGCAATCAAAATGTCGAAAAGATAGTCCAATTTACTTTCATTAAATAAATGGATGGATGGATGGATGGATGGATGGATGGATGGATGGATGGATGGATGGATGGATTGTCCTTAGCTGGACAACCAAGAATTGATGCCTTCAGGTGCTTCAAACGGTGCCATTTCGAGATTGGAGCAGGAGCAAAAACGCGCAGGACTGAATTCAGTGAAGAGTTCAGCTCAGAACAGTGAAGTGAGGACCCACAACAAGCCCCCCCACCCCCCAAACTCCCTTGAGCTGCCATTATGCTGTATATTGTTTATTATCCTGTGATCTTACTGGACTGGCCCACATTTAGGCTGAATGTGGCCCTTGAATTAAAATCAGTTTGACGCCCGTTCTTTAGATTATTTTGAGTCACTATCAGAAAGAGATAATGGAGAGTCATAGTTCAAACAATAGAGTTTCAGAAAACAAAGACCATCGAATACCACTTTTTAAATAGCTCCCCGTTGATGTCACTTACTGTTTCACTTCGGCTCCACCAAGTTTAAAAGAATAACGAATATATGCCAGTTATGTGACAGAATGGGTGAATTATGTGTATTGTGCCAAATTTCTTGAACATTTAGTGTTTTTCTCTCCACTCTCTGTATTTGTAGGATATGCATGTCTCAGGCACTTTAAAGTGGTTCATCATTGCTGATATGAGTATATTCTTTTAATCCAAACAATTCACTTTCTCAGTATCCTAAGAAGCCACTGTTTTGCTAACCTCTATCCATGTCTGTAGGTTGCGGAAGGAAGCCATCTTGGTAACATCATACACAAAGACCACTGCATGGACATTACGGTAGTAGTGTTCCACCATGGACTTGCGAAACCGCTCCTGGCCTGCTGTGTCCCACACCTGCACCTGTAGAAACAGATGAGATATTGGCTTATTTGTCAGGAAAATAACTTTTTGCTAACTGTGGGGCGGCTGTGGCTGAGTGGTTAGAGCAGTCGTCCCCCAATGCAAGAGTTGGGGGTTTGAATCCACCAGCAGTCACATGCTGAAGTGTCCCTGGGCAAGACACTGAACCCCTCATCGCCTCTGATGTGTGTCCCATCAGTGTATGAATGTGATCTAAAGCTCTGATTAGTCTCTTTAGAATGATTTGTTCAATTAGTTTTGTAGAGATCTAGTATAGAGCTGTATGAATGGGTGAATGAGGCACAGATCGTTGTGTAAAGAGCTTTGAGTATCTTGAAATAAGATAGAAAGGCGCTGTATAAGTAGAGTCCATTTACCATTTAACTGGTTTTCATAATATACCTTATGTAAACATATTGTAATATAAGTGGATTGAACTGACGGTAACTGGGTTTGAAGATGCTTTTGAACTCAATTTGAATTCATGATTTGGACTTCTTATTTCTTTTATAGAACACTGAAATGTCTTGTTGCGATTTTGGTGCTGTATAATCAAATGTAATCAAAATGAATTGACTTAATTACTTAAGTTTTGGAAAAAATTGTTTAAATAATAATAGATGTTATAAACTTGTATTTAGCTTTAATGTAGGCTTTGTAACACTTGCTATAGAACAACAGATGCTGAAACAAATAAAACAAATGATAAGCATAAACAAAAACAGTAATAATATTAAGTTAGGCTTACTCAGATGAGTCTTGACTTTCTGTTGTTACTCTTAAGAGTTCTAAAGCTATTTGAGGACTCTAAATTTACTTCAGTTCAATTCAGTTCAGTTTATTAATATACAGTAGTCCTTTGTTTATCGCTGGGGATCTGTACCCTGAAGACCCGCGACAAGTGAAAAACCGCGAAGTAGGAATAGGCCCTTTTCACATGACGTCAGACAACTTCCTTTTTGACTCGATGCTGTGGATCATTACTTCCGGGTCTATTCTCCCTTGGGAGACCTGTCTGAAAACTTAACAGAATTTCATTCCTTCAACCTTTATTTACAGAGGTTATATTACAAGATATAGCGCAAGGTAAGGTTAATAAAAACAGTGTTTATGTGTTTGTTAGCTGTGGTAACGTTATCCATCATTGCGGCAACTTTAGCCACAGTAGCTAAAATATACAACACGGGCTGTCAGTGCTCTAACGTTTAAAGGTTTACTTTCTATATTAACGTTAATAAAAACAGTATTTATGTGTTAGTTAGCTGTGGTAACATTATCCATCTTTATCAATTTACCATTCTGTAACTGTGTAAGGAAACAGCCTCCAATTGTAACGTAAGCAAGCTAGCAGCAACAGGTAGCTAAACTCTACACTGCTGCTGCCTGTCAGTGCTGTAACATTAAAATGTTTACTTTAACTATTAATGTAAAATCTCTGACATCTTCCAACACTGTTGTTTAGAATAGCATTTTAAATATTGAATTAAAAGCTATATGTCAAACCATTTCCATGTTCTGATGATTAATAATTTCTCTTTTTACTGTCTTCTTGTGTCCATCTTTTTCAGCAGCAGTAATTCAGCAAAGAGGACACCCTGAAGACCCTGAAGACCCAGAAGACCCAGGCTCGTCTGAGAATTTTAGCAGAGAGGGCCATGTGAAGGTGAAGGAGTAGCAGTCAGTCAGGAGGTTCAGTCAATCAGCTGTGGATCATCTGCTGATGCCTAATATCAAATTATCAGGGTCGTCTTGATGGAAAAGGAGACAAACCAGTCTAGAGCCTCCCTGCTCCTTCAAGTCACACTTCTTGGATGAACATTCATTACTGCAAGCAGCTGTGTTGGAAATCTCTCCGGATATTTATCTTTTTTTTTTAAAATCTATTAATGAATGAATTGATGTGAAGAATTCTGTCAGAACTTTTTTAAATAGCTTGTCTTCAGTAATCTGCATATATACATATTTTACATTTAAATTGCATCTGTTTGTATATTTTACACATCTGGTAATGTAGTACATGGAGGAGGGGAGGAAATAAAGCTTCTGTTGTGTAACAATTAAACAAGGTTTGTGGCAGCTTCTTGCAAAAATTAATTTAATAATTTTATTGAACACTGTACATGGAGCAATGTTGGT